GCCTCCAATACGCTGGCTCTCAGCTGGGGGAGGGGGGTGTTGGTCCCTCTTCCCACCCCCGGCCTGGATATCTGGCAACGTCTGGATGCATTTTTGGTTGTCAACACTGGCAGGGCATTACTGTCAACTAGTGGGTAGTGGTAAGGGATGGTGCCAAACATCTTATAATGCACAGGGCAGCCCCACAACAAAAAATATTCTCTAGCCCCACATGTCAGTAGTGCAAAGGCTGAGAAAACATGCTGCAACCACTACTTGTCCCTCACTTAATTTTTCTGAGGTTAAATTTACATACATAGAAATGCACAATTTTTAACTGTACAGTTTTGACAAATTGATTTATCCATGTAGACCCTCACATATGTTTCTGTATATACCATTTTAAAATAAAATCAACTTTAATACACTTTCTTCTACTCCTAGCTTGCTAATAAGGTTTTGTCATTCTTTTTACAAAATGGTCATTTACATGTATTAAATTTTATTAGTACACTTTTTTCCCCCCCAAAGGAGTGCTTAAAAACACCCTGGGTCCTTTTCCTGACACAACAGTGAACTGCTTCCTCTGGTAAGTTTGTGCAAATGGATTCCATTTCTACTGTGTGCTCAGTCATACATACCGTGACCAAAAGACTAATTAATGACCCTGCAAATCCCGCAAGATTCTCTGAAAATCACAAACTAGCAAGAAGCATGACAAATACTGTATGGTTCAGTTCCGCGTGCCCTTGCAATTGCTCAAGCGGACTCTGGGGCCCAAAGAGAAATAATTTACTTTATACAGTGATCAGGGAAAGAATCAAGAGCAGGAAAATGTCTCCTTTACTATTTTTGACACAAGTATTAAAATGCAATCTAAAATTCGGATCTAGTACCTTTGTGGCAAAGCAGAGGCCTCTGAGATTAGGCCTCAATCCTTGACTCTCACAGCTTTTGTTAAACTTGGATTACAGCTGCTATAAGACTTGCGACAGAATCTGTTTCATCAAGACTTTTTTCTTTTTAAGCAGAAGTTTTACCTTTTTTTTTTTAATGTGGACCATTTTTAAAGTCTTTATTGAATTTGTTATGATACTGCTTCTGTTTCTTGTTTTTGTTTTTTGGCTGAGAAGCATATGGAATCTTCATTCCCAACCAGGGAATGAACCCATACCCCCTGCATTGGAAAGTGAAGTCTTAATCACTGGACCACAAGGGAAGTCCTAGAATCTGTTTTAATCTATGAACTTCTCTCTGGTAACTTCCAGTTTCCTGTGGTTTTGCTGCTTGAGTGATCATGCCTTCAGCTCCATGACTGCATGGACTTCTAAGCCCAGATACTCATGGCAAGCATGAACCCCAGCTAAACCTGAACTTCACGTGGGAATCTTCCAAGGGCCACACTGCCCTGTAGCTCCTACTCATGGCCTCCCCACCGTTCACCCGAGGCAGGGCCTACCGAGATCTGTGCTCCCCTGTCACCCACTCATGTTTGTCTGGGGTCTGATAAAGTCAAACGCCAATTTCCAGATGGTTTTCTCGTTCACATCTCAAAGCAGAATACTGGCCAAACTGATATTTTTCTGAAGATGCGGGCTTTTGGAGTCTGAGTTGATTATTTTAACATTCTTCTAAAGAAAGGAAAATCTGAGGAAAATAGATATGACAATGGATTCATGTGACAAGATGAAAATAGCACGGTGGCTGGACACTAAATCAGCTTGCAAGGCCTGGGCAGAGCTGCAAACTCATGGAAACATATTCCCTATAAGTTAACTCTGTTCCAGGGGCTTCATCAACTCTAGAAACTTGAGAAAATTAGTTTCTAGAGACTAGAAACAGAATTCAAAGTTTCTCTCAGACACACTAAGAGCAATCACTCCACGTCCTCTCTCATCACACACAGCAGTGAGGTGAACAGAGGATCCCTGGTGAACATGTGCTCATGAAGCTGGACGTGCTGGGGCATTATTCTGCTGTTTCCCGAGGAGAGGGTTCATTCTGTGCTTATGACGTGCAAGAGGCAAGAATTTCCAAACACTGAAACTCTACACTCAGACGCAGTCAGTCAGTGTCTGAATCTACGCAACCTCCCAAGACGTTTGCTGAAACAATGCTTCTGACTTTGCTAAGCTGGTCAGCCAGACAGCCCATGTCAAGCATTGACTAGATGTTTCCATGTGAGAAGACAGGCGCTGATAGAGAAACAAACTATTAATAGTAAGAGCTGGCATTTGTTGAGGGCTTCCCATGTGCCTGATGTTGGGTCAAGCACTTCAGTGCATTGTTGTTCAGTCACTAAGCTGTGTCTGACTCTTTGTGATCCCATGGACTGCAGCAGGCCAGGCTTCCCTGTCCTTCACTATCTCCCAGAGTTTGCTCAAACTCACGTCCACTGAGTCAGTGATGCCATCCAACCATCTCATTCTCTGTTGCCCCCTTCTCCTCCTGCCCTCAGTCTTTCCCAGCATCAGGATCTTTTCCAATGAGTCGGCTTTCTGCATCAGGTGGCCAAGTATTAGAGCTTCAGCTTCAGCATCACTCCTTGCAATGAATATTCAGGGTTGATTTCCTTTAGGATCGACTGGTTTGATCTCCTTGCTGATCTTCTTCAGTACATTATGTTGTTTAATCCTCACAACTATCCTGAGAGGTGGTGCTATGATTATCCCCATTTTATAGATGAGGAAACTAAAGCCCTTGAAGGGTAAGTAACTTGTCTAAGGACAAACAGCTGCTGGGTGGCAGAGATAGGATTCAGCATCAGACCTTAGTGATTCTGGAGCCCATGACCTTAAGGTTCACACCTACTGCCTTGCTATAGCGTAGGAAGGCCACTCACTTACAAAAAGAGTATAAAACATACAGCACTTATGAGATTCAAGAGATGCCTGTTATTCACAGGCATTACATCTCTGGCTTTGATACTTTCTGATGGACCCATGATGCACCAGGGCATATGCTGACCTGCCACCCTCTGAGGCCTGACTTGGACCAGCATGGCCAAGGGCCCAGGGTTGGGGCAAGTCATGGGGCTAGGAGAGCTGAGCCGCCACCCAGTCAACTAATCCAGTGGAAGGGCAGGAGTTATGGAAATGCCTTGAACTATATATTCTCCTTACTTAAAAATGTAGTTCTTTCAAATATAGAAAGCAACTGAAATCAGTTCAGTATTGCTGAATAAAGGTCTACAGAGGATTTATTTTAATGAATATTAAGGGATCATATATGATCAGTACATATATGATCAGTAAGTGTTTTTAAATAATTAGGGGCTAAGGGACCATACTCAATATTTTGTAATAACTTCTAAGGGAAAAGAATCTGAAAAAGAATAGATATATGTATACATATAACTGAGTCATTTTGCTGTACACTTAAAACTAATACTACATTGTCAATCAACTATACTTCAATTAAATACAAAGAACAACTAAACCTTCAAAAATACTGAGAATAAAGGCAAACTGAGCCTTCTGTTTACATTTGCATGAAGATTAAGAAGCTACAGTTAAATGGCTTGAACAATTAGAAACAAACAGAAAATGAATTAGGGGTTGAATATTATTGTTTGTTTTTAAAGGAGCTTAAACTGTTCTCCAAACTCAAGCTGTTCAAATTACAGAGTATGAACAGGTGGTATCTGAGCAGAGGCAACTGCCATGGCACCCAACTCAACTCAGCAGTGCTGAGGCGACACCATCTATGTAGACATGTCTTGAGGCATAGAATTCAAGTGAGCAGGGTGGGGCTGATGGAGGAAGACTTGCTGGGTGAGGTGAACAGAGCTTCTCCGAACCAAAAAGATGAGCCTGTCTTTGCTTGCTGCTCCTAGGTTGTCTCTGCCCCAGCCACTACGGACCCAAAATAATCAAGAGCCATTGTGGCTCCCTCTGCCCAAATGCTTTTCTCCTAGTCCTCCTCCAGCCCCAACTCTCAGAGGTGCCTCCTCCAACCATCCAACCTAAAGCCACTACTCCTCACAGAACAGAGAATATAAAGAAGATAAATATGTAAAGAATATATTTCGTGACTTCCCTGGTGGTCCAGTGGTTACGAATTTGCCTTGCAATACGCTTCCCAGTAAAGAATCTGCCTGTAACGCGGGAGACTCACATTTGATCCCTGGGTTGGGAAGATTCCCTGGAGAAGGGAATGGCTACCCACTCCAGTGTTTTTGCCTGCAGAATTCCGTGGACAGAGGAGCTTTAAGGGCTACAGTCCATGGGGTCGCAAAGAGTCGGACACCACCGAATGACTAAAACACTTTCACTTTGCAATGCATGAACATGGGTTTGATTCCTGGTTAGGGAACTAAGATCCCATGTGCTGTGGAGAAACTCAGCCCACATGCCACAACTACTTAAACTTGTGCACTGCAACTAGAGAGTCAGTGTACTGCAACAGAAAGATTCCACGTGATACAGGGAAAATTCCATTGCTGCAACGAAGGCCTGAAGCAGCCGAATGAATGAATAAATAAATATTTTAAAAGAATACATCTCTATAAAAATATGACGGAAAATTCCATAGACAGTGAAGCCTGGTGGGCTATAGTTCACGGGGCTGCAAAGAGTCGGACACGACTGAGCGGCTGAGCACATGGCACATAAATACATAAAGAATATGATGAATATCATGCCCCTAAGGTATTCTTTCATATAACCTAGCTTTATACCCTGCATACTGAGGTAAAAATGATCTTCTAACTTATTTGTTACTTGTATATTATCTGTCTCTTCTTACTAGAGTGTAAACATCATGAAGGGGAGGTCTTGTCTGCCTGTTCACTGTGATATGCCCCGTCCCTAGAATAAGGCCCAGGTACTTAGGGGGTGTGCTTAATGGAAAAAAATGCTTTAAGTAAATGGATGAATGAATTAAGCTGCCAGATCATCATTCTGTCCTCAAACAGGGGAAACTGGTGGTTTTACTTTTACGTAGTGCCTCTGGACTAGAAGGATACGTGGTTTGATCCACAACAAAAGTGAGGGGAAAAGCCCTACCCAGCTTCATCTCACCTGTTCTGCCCCCACCATGCTGATTGGCTTGCACTTGAACAGGTGGGTGATGAACTTGGGAATGAAGGAGCTGTGGATAAAAAAGAAGTGACAGATTAGGCTCATTTTCTCTTTGGTAAAGAACTGCAGAAACTTTTTTTAAGTTCCTATACTTCCTTCTAAAGAAAATGGAGAATTAAAGTAGCTATTCTTATATCCTACCAGCATGCATTCTTTTTCTTTTCCCCCTAACGAAAGCCCTGGTTTTATTTAGGTAAATCTGGCCTTGGGATGCTGGGGAAAAGCTGATTCCTCCTAAACAACAGAGGTGGATTCTAATTAGCCTCAGCCAGGCAGAGCCTGGGGTTCCTTGGGTGACTGCTGCTGGTGCTGACGATTTGAGGACATGATTTTAGCCTGTCTGTGTGTTTGGATTTAACATCTAGAGCTGTCATTTTCTCACTGTTCTAAGGATGAAGCCAGAGGCCCAAGGAGAGCAAGGTCAGTAAAGAACCTGGGTCCTTAGTAACATTGCTGAACCACTGCATCAGTCATCTTGGGATCTGTCTGATCTCCAGATTTTGGTTATATGAAATAAGAAATTCACTGTTTAAATCAGTTTGAGTATGATGAGTAGCTGAAAACATCCTAATGGATGTGACAACTGAATATACATTGGTGGTTACGGGATCTTAAATGTGAAAATAAGAAATAATTGCTAAGGGAGTAACTGTCAGATCAGGGAACAAAATGCACGATCTCCAAAAAATTTACTGGGGACTGAAGGGCAACCTGGGCCAGGTGGATTGATAATGCTCATCTGGGGAAAGGGAGAATGTAATTTTAACAGGCCAGGAGGGTTTTTTTAAGAAAACCCTGCAGATGCCTAAGTAGGGAAGGCTGAGTTGCACTGCTGCTGAACAGAAGGCGTGGGAACCAGAAATGCCTAAAATCAGGCCAGATTCAAAGACCAGGAGAACACAGGGCCTGTGACCAAAAGCAGGATTTGGAGGTCAAGGTAAAGGCTGGCCAGCCTCCCCCTCTCCTCACTCTTCACAAGCTACTCTCAGGCTCATGCCCACCATCCTCTTTGCTCTCTCCACTTCTTTTCCAGAAGGTTTGTGCCACTCTGATATCCAGAGACCTACTGGAGGGCCCACTGGCATGGCACTGACACCTCCACCCCAGCGCATCCAAGATTCAGTCCTAACTTGGATCCAGGCTCAGAGACTAGATCTCCTCTGTGCAGTCATTCAAGTCAGAAGCCACAGACTTGCCCTCAACACCGATATCCAGTAAGTTCTCGGTTCTTCCATCAATGCCCACACCCACCCCTCCTGACCGTCCCTTGGCTGCTCCCCTTCTCCTTCTCACTAGAGTTCTTTCAGTTGTTTCCTAACTGGTCTCCTAGCCTTCAGCCTCATCATTTCTAATCCAGCAGCCATTATTGGGATTTATTTCAGATGCAAAATGATCAGGACCCTCCTCTGATCACAACTCTTGCAATGACTGCAGACAGACCATCCTCGACTGTCCAGCCCCATCGTGCTGAGCCCTGGTACCCTGTGATTCAGGCTGGCTGGCCACATGCAGATCCTACGACTCTAGGCAATCTGAATCTTCTGTGCCTTTGCTCACACTGCTCCCTCTGCCTGGAATGCCTCCCCCACTGCCTTGCGGGTCAGGACACACACACATCTCCTGGACTCTGCTCAAGGACAGCTTTCCTGTGAAGCCTCTCCTCAGTCCCCTCCACCATACTCTGCAGAGAGTCCACAGACCTCCAACCTAATACATAACCTACTTGGTGATACTTATTTGCTGACAAGTCGATTTTCTTCCACTTGACTGTAAGGCAAATGAAGCCAGGGACCACATCTACTTAGTCAAAGCACTGAACTCTGTAGTGGAACACAGTGGGTGCTCAAGGGGCTGCATGCTGAATGAACAATAAATAATAAGGCAGAAGCTAACACTTTTTAAATGTCGGCTTGGTACCAGGACTTTACCAGGAAGTTCATATGATTTCTCATTTTTTTTCCCCTCCCAACCACTATTAAGAGATCTGTCTCATCATCCCCATAACTGAATGGAGGAGAATCCACTGAGTGGATGAGGGAAGTCACTTGTGGTTCAAACAGTAGTTTCCACCAGGGGGGTGATCTTGATGTCTAAATAGTAGAGACTTGTTGCTTCAGAGACCAATAGTGAGATAAGAAAGCTAGAGGGCAAGAAATGTCAGCCCCAGAGATCAGATCTAGGGGAAGGCCAGCTAACGGATCAGGAGGCAGTGAGAACAAGGGACTGTGTGGCCTAGATTCTTCCTGCTCTAAACTGGAGTCAAGCCAAAAAGTACCATGAGACTGAACTACAGCTAACTGCAATGGCACAGAGTTTATAACCTAAGTTACTTCAAACTAAGTAGGTTTTGATCATGTGCTTCATCTGGCTCTATGTGCTGGACTATAGGGGGAGGGGTGGGGAAAACATAAGGATCAGGGACACGTCTTTGGGGGAAGAGTTCCAGCAACGTGAGGGGTAACTGCCAGGGGCTCCTCCAGACCCTCACAGTGCTAGCAGTTGACTGCTCTTGGCTGAAGAAGGGTGTTCTCACAGCCCCCATCTGAAGGTTCTGGTCTTCAGCTGGGATTTTACAGTGATGAGAGGGTATCACGGATTAAATTAAGGATCCACTTTCTAGATTACAGGTTAAAGTTTTCCAGATGTGAGAGATGGCATCCTATGCCCAGCTCCCCCAATATGGGCTTAATGTGAGAGCCAAGGGCACTGAGAGAAGGTGAGGCTGGTGCCGGGACTAGTGAAGTGAACAGACCCCTTCCTCGCTTTAACGTCAGCTCCATCAGGCTCCTGTGCAACCGCAAGGGAGAGTCTTGGCCACAGTACATTTTTATAGAGACGTTGTTCCTACTGGGAGTTATGGGGAGTGTCACAGTGTGATTTGTCAGCAGGACTTTTTAACATGTGCTGATGAGCACCCAGAGAGTGGAAGGGATGTCAGCTCCCGGCCCATCTGCTGTCCTGCACACATTAATGCCTCCCAGGAGGGTCCACTCGAGCCTTTCCTGACGCACTGGGAACTGAAGCTCAGGCCACAGGCCACTTCGTAATTGCTGCTCTTTAGGGGCTCGTGTGTGAGGGGGAGGGAGAGCCTTAATTGAACACAAACTGAGAGAGATCTAGGGAAGACAGAAACTTGGAGCCCTAAACTGTCCTCGGGGACCTGGATGAGAATAACCTCACTTCAGTAGCTTGGACGGGGCCGTTCTTCCCAAAGCCTTTCCCGGCGAAGTCTGCCAAAACGCTTGTTTGATAATTGGTCAGAGGAGGCACTGACCCTCCATGGTGTCCAGCCTTGGGGAAAACCATGCTATAGCCAGATGCTGACTGGCAAAGGACCAAAACATCTCCCAGCTTTAAAACAACAAGCCAGAAGTAGCCACACAGGAGGATGTGGCAGGAGACGCGCAGCGCAGTGTTCACTCCACCTACTTGGCAATGGACTGGCTCCTGGACTGGCAATGACTTGCTCTTCCCGATTTCTAGTACCTTCCCTAGACTCATGGGTGTCCACAAGTGGATATACTCTGGTAGCCACAGTAATAAGTGTATGGGCGAGGAGGAAGAGAAGGCTCAAGAAGAAACAGAACTCACGGTTCCCATCCTCAAAAGGCTTATTATCCAGTCAGAGAGACAAAATACATACATGAAATTGCTGAAAAATAATTTTAATTATCCAAACCTGGGGGAAGGCAGGGGTAGCAGTATGTCCATGTAATTCAAATGACAGGAGCCCCCTGACTCCTTTCTGCCTGTCTTGAGGGGGTGGATGGTTGTACTGCTGTTACTGTGATTTACCACATTAAGTAGCAAATTTAGTGTGATTAGTATGCTTCTCTGGGGTACAGAAAAACTAATTGGATGGTGGAGACACCTAGAATGGGTGCATGGTGGTGGTCAACATAGCATTCAGAACCATCCAATGATGCGGGTGTTTGGGACTTACTTTGCAAATTTAATGCAGAACTGCGTGAAGTATTTCCGCGTGGAGGCCAGGTTGTCACGGATGATGGGGACGTTCTGTTTAATGTGAAGGATGACCGAGGTGACATAGGGGCTCTGGTCACCAACATGCTCCACATTCTGCCACTGCATCTGAAAATGGAAACAAGGCGGGAGAAGTCTTCAGAGCCTGTACAGGAGAACAGCTTTACCCGTTCCTGGGGAAGGTGTGGGGACAGGTGTATAATATAGTGATTCACAGTTTTTAAAAATTGAAGTATGGCTGATTTACAGTGTTGGGTTCATTTCTGAATGAGTTTTAAAGGTGATGCTCCACTTATAGTCATAAAATACTGGCCATATTCCCCGTGTTGTACAATATATCCTTGTGGCTTGTTTTCTCTGCTTTCTTTGGTAGCTTATTTCTTCTACTTTTCTACCTAACTGAAAATTTCCATAATCAAACATTAGACTCTTACTCCAACAGCCTTTGAGATTACGTGGGATTTTGATCAAGAGAAAGGAAAGAGCATCTCTGTAAATATGAGGGGCAGGTCAGAGGTTAAGACAGTGCTGTGGGGAACAGGGCAGGGGCTGTGCAGATGGCTGGTTTGGAGCATCACTGAGAGGTCCTGCATAGCCTCTGACCAGGCAGGCTGTGAACAAAATCAAGAGGCCTGAGACTTCCCTGGGAGTCCAGTGGTTAGAATCCACCTTGCAAGGCAGGGGACTTGGGCTTGATCCCTGGTTGGGGAACTAAGACCCCGCACACCATGGAGCCACTAAGTGCGTGCGCCACAACAGGAGATCCCGCAGGACGCAATGAGGATCCTGGGTGTTGCAACCAAGACTGGACGCAGCCCAACAAATAAACATACTAAAAACAAAATAAAAAAACTAGAGACCTGCTGGGCTCCAGTGCTCACAACCTGAGGAATATTAGGGGAAATGCTCTGAAAAACATTCACAGTAAAATGGAAAAAGCAGCAGTGGTGTTATCTCCCCACCACCACCTCATCCCGGAAACACTGGAGAAGAGGGGCGGTACCAGCTCCCAGCCTGCTTCACACCACCAGCCAGGACTGAGATGGGGTTCTGCAGGGTCAGCCTCTCAGAAAGGAGCTGGGCTGCCTGTTAAAAAGCTCCTGAGCCGAACACAAACTGTATAATATGTTCATAGAAGGAAGGCAGTCTTTCTGAGGCCTTGATGTCTCTGGCAGGAAAATACTATTTTTATAGAGCTCCTGGGGAAAGGAAAAATTCAATCCTGAGAGAATGTGTTTAAAAGAATCATATTGTACACGGATGATCCCCCAGCTCCTGGGAAGCTCAAATGACTCTATGTTTTGTCCTAATGTTTCTTCACATCAACAGATATTTATGGCCTAAAAGCTTTGGGTCTGTGTAAGCAAAGAACCATGCAAAAGATGGAAGGCACCTCCATCTTCATTTTACAGATAAGAAAACCAAGGCCCAGGTACATGAAGTCTATGTAAGCTTTGATAATGAGGCTCCAGAAGGAAAAGGGCCTCTAATTTTTTTTACTGGGGGAAAAAATAAAAGCAAAGAATGCAGAGATGGTAGAAAAGTCTAATATGAACTGACTTTATATTCTAATGCTTTGGCTACTTCTAATGTTTTCCTCATCCTCTTCTATTTTATTCAAGAGACTTCTTTTCCCATCTGATATTAAAGATGTGACCCATTCAAACAATGAACCTCCTAGGGGGGCTTAAATGAGTTCACAGGGTGAGGCCAGAATTGGCAGGTGCTGTTAGCATCTACACTTCATCTTCCACTCCCAGCTCATCAGCGGCTTCTCAACAGAAGGTCCCCGGGGAACGAACAGCACAGTGAACTCTGCCCTCCACTGAAGGCAAAGCTCATCCATAGTTAACACTGCTCTTTTCCAAGTTGGCAGCAGTTGACGTTTCAACAGCTCAAAAACGTAAACAATTATCTAAGCATGATGGTTCTCCATTGACAGAAGACGACCACAGCGGGAGGTGGTGACATGCCCTGTCATTGGTTACAAAGCAACTCAGTGGTGGTGGTGGGGGGGCGGGGTAAGACGGAGCTTGCGGTGTGAGAGTTCACGTTACCGCTGGAGAGTTGCCTCCTCTTGATGGCCATGTTAGTCTGTGTCCTCATTGGGAATCTAGGTGAAAGATCCGATTTTCTTGAATACTTAGGCCATTTTGAACTCCATCGGTCAAGATAAATGAAGTACTGACAAAAGTCAAATGGATTCATGAGTTTAAATTTAAGTCAACCCAGGACTTCCCTGGAGGTCCAGTGGTTAAGACTCTGTGTTTCCACTTTGGGGGACAGGGGTTTGATCCCTGGTTAGGGGACAAAGATCCCACACACCACTTGGTGTGGCCAAAAATTAATAAAAATTAAAAAAAAAATTTAAGCCAGCTTGTAGAATAAGAAAAGAATTTAAAGTACTGGAAAACAATGAGAGTTGACATTGTTCAGACTATTCTCTAAAAAATGAGCAAAATACAGCCAGCAGTGACACTGTCCAGCCACAGCCTCGGATGGATGCTCTGCCATCTTCCCCCTTGATGACCTGGGTTTGGGTTGTAACTCAAATGTCCCAATGTACCTACATCAAGACCTACTGTGTGCAGGTCATTTGGCCTGGCATTTGGCACACATCATCTCCTTTGCTATTCAGACATGATCTTACCCACAGCAGTCTTATTGACAAGGAGACTGAAAAAGCTCAAAGAAAAGAGGCCTAAAGTCACTCAGCTGATCAATGGCAGAGTGGAGGCAGCCCAAACCCATCTTAAACCCAAGCACTATACTCGGCTGCTTCCTAGACACATGTTAATTATTTCAAACAAACAAAAAGTACTTAACTCAGCTTTAGTTCAAGGGGAGCCCAGTTTCTCATGGAGAAGCTAATGAAATACACAGTGATCAAGGGACATAAAACAGTAGCTTGCACTGGAAGAACAAACATGCTGAAAAGCTATTAGTGGAAATAAGACTCCAACTTTTCCAGGTGAACTTTGCATCTGACCTTTAGAACCTCATACTTCACAGAACTCCATACTTCAAGATTTTTCGTCTGTGCTTTTTGTGTAGAAGGTGGGGTGGGGTTGAATACTATTGGTGCTATTTGAATAAGAACAAGTTTGCAAAAGAAGCAGTAACTAAGATGTAGGGTTGATAGAAACAGCAAGCAAGGAAACAATCTATTTACAATACTAGAGTCCCAGGGACCCCACACTCAGCCTCAGGGGGAGGTTGTGGGGCTCAGGGCATTGCCAGCTTCTGTGGTTTTTGGTGCCTATGGAAGGACAGCGGTGGTAGCCCTTCACAGGGAAGGCTGGGGAGATGCCCACAGCAGTAGAGACCTCTGACCCACCCACTGATCAGAGGACGGGGCTCCACATTAGTTGACTACGGTATGTGTGCTTCTCCATGGCTATGTGAAACTTGAACAGAGGTCTCCTGAGAAATTAATTTTCCTCAACCGAGAATTCAGATTCTCACATATTCATCTTGATCTCAGAATTAAAGCTGTACAGAGCAGACTCAGACCTGTGGAGTCTGGGAACATTGCAGGCAATCAGAGTCTAGTGTTACGGGCAAGGCTGCTGGGATGCTGGCCCCAGGCATGCGCACAAGCACACGCTCACACCTCATGTACGTCTGGACTACTTTCACTCACACAACAAGCCTGTGCTGTTTTTAGGCACCTTCCCCAAGTATAGCACTCAACTAAGTACTGTGTGGGGAATAAAAAGGAGGCAGGAACATTCTACCGAGCACTTACTATGTACTAAGCACCATGATCGACATTTTCCCGTGAACCTACTGCTTATGACAATTATGCAGTGAAGGAGGTATTCTTACTCCTGCTTCATGGATGGTAAGACTGATGTGAGGACAGTCAGGGACTAGCCTAATGAACTGATAAGTCTGCAGGGATGAGATCTAGACATTGATCTGACCAACTCAAAAGTCCATGTTTTTTTCCACTTTATCATGCTGCTTTCCAAAATAAGTGTTACCACCTGAAATGAACTTGAAATTAACTAAGGAAATTTGGGGCAAGCAAAATCTGTGTACAGATGAGCCTGTCCAAAGTAGAGGATGTGGTGGTGTTGATGGTGGTGCAGAAGAGGAGGAAAGGATGACTCTTCTCACTCAGGGACACACATTCCTTAACTCTGGGAGGAAAACCAGTAAGATCCAAGATAGAAAATGGAGCAATAAAAGCTTAAGAAGATGTAGGTTTTTTTTTTTTTTTAAATTCACTGCTGGGCCAATGGGAAGGTGAATTTGTATAAGCTTTCTTAAAGGTGATTTGAAAATATCTATCAAAAAATTTTGGCATTTTACATAGTTTTAGATCTCTGAAATTCCTTTATGGCAACTAATCTGAAGATAATAATTATGAATGCTCAGAAAACACACACCCACACAAAGTTGTCCATTGCTGGACTATTTATAAATGTGAAAAATCGGAAATAGCCTAACACCCATCGAAAGTGAAATGATTACATACATGTCAGGGGCAACAGATGACAGTACTTAAGACGAAGCAATCTAGAGCTGCCAGTCATGAGTCCTAACATTGTTTGTGCAACCAACTAAATGCATGACTTGCGCAAGTGACCAAACTCTCTGAGCCTCAGTTTTCTCAGCCATAAAACTGGGATGATGATAACCTCTATAATCTATATAGTTAATGAAAGACAGTGTATGGTATGCTCTTACACAGTGCATGTATTACTTCCATGGTAAATGTTAACTACTGTTATAATTTTAACAGTAAATACTCTGTACTACGGAGTACTATGCAATCACTAAAAATACCACAGATTCAGATCAAATGGCCCAGAAAACTATTAAAACCTGCAAAATGAGAAAAAGAGGTTATATACTATGTAAAGCATAAGCTTGTTTATTTAAAAATAAATGCATAGGGTTTTCCTGGTGGCTCAGTGGTAAAGAATCCACTTGCCAATGCAGGAGACATGGGTTTGATCCCTGGTCTGGCAAGATCCTACACGCCACAGAGCAACTAAGCCGAAGCATCCCAACTATTGAACCTGTGCTCTAGAGCCCAGGAACCTCAACTACTGAGCCCATAAACTGAATTACTGCCCTTGAGCCTGTGCTCCACCACA